TATATAATTAACGTTACAAATATCTTAAAATAACAATGTTTTTTCGCAACTCTGAGTTTCACGATCTTGTCTGATCGATCTTCAGGCGATTTATGTCCGTTTAATTAGTTTGTTTGATTTCGTGATTTTCGTTGACGCACGCGCTTGGTATGAAAACTTCCAGCTTGGAACCGATCTTTATGGCGACATTTTCCGAAGATTTTTCCAGACATAAATCGCCTGAAGATCGATCAGACAAGATCGTGAAACTCAGAGTAGCGAAAAAACATTGTTATTTTAAGAAATTTGTAACTTTAATTACATACCTCTACTGTACTGTTTATAGTATTGAGCACTCTTTTTAGTCCTTCAACGAAAAACAACCCGTTATATATATATATATATATATATATATATATATATATATATATATATATATATATATATATATATATATATATATATATATATATATATAGATAGAAGTTCTTTATTGCCTCCAATTCTGAAGAGTCCTTTCTTACAATATATAACTAAAAGATTATTACTTATTACGGCCTATTACCGAACTATCATTACTTATTTACAATAATTTATTTTAAGAATGTACTATACTATTTAAGAATTGTTCTATTTTTGAAAAAATCGCTACGATTCCATTGGAACAAATTATTATAAATTGGTCCCTTTCAGAGTCTGAGACACTACATGGAAGTGACCCACTTAAAAAACTAACAAGCATGCCGTTATCATCTTGGTTAAAAATGCTAGCACAAATATTTAAACTCAATTGGTCCTGTAAATTGTCCCACAATAATTCTCTTTCTATCGATACGCTTTGGCAGTCCATTATAAAATGTTTAAGGGTTCCCAATATTGATCCATGACATATCCTACAGATCTTCTGTTCACCCTGATCTTCCACAACATCACTAAGTTTTGACGGAATATTTCCACATAGAAGATTTACCAGTGTTGCTATAAGTTTGAGGTACATTGGGTTCCGCTTCGCTGTGTTCCACAATTCTAGAGGCTGCAGTTCAGTATGAACGTCCCGAAAATATCCAAGTTCTGGTTTGATATGCAAGCCCTGTCTCCAACTCTGTAATTGAAATTGACGAATACTTGCTTTAACCAATGATTTCCATGAAGATTTAGTTGGGACTTGACCTGTTTGTATGTAGGTGGTGAGATAATCCCCAAGTCCATATTTATTTAAAATTCTAACGATGTTTGGAATAAATCCCATTTTCTTCTTAGTCACATCATTGAAAAAAGATGATAATCTAACAACAAATATAATTTTGTCCACATTCGTTGGTTTCAATGATAATAATTTATGAAGAAACATCAGTTGTACTTTATCGATATGTCCCTCAATTGTCCATAGTCCCAAACTTCCAAGTGCGGCTTCTGATCGCGTTGATGGTGCAAGACCTTGAGCTCGCTTTGCTGCAAAACGATTCACTCGTTCAAGTATGTCATACTCAGTTTTTGTGATGTTACTCCACAACTCACCTCCGAATAACATTGTCGGCAAACCAACTGTTGTCCATATGTTAATTCCACAAATTGGATTTAAACCGGCAGGACGAACTCCTGCACTCATCAAACTTGACACTACTGCCTTGCCTTTCCGTGCCATCTCCAGTGTACGCTCTGTGCTCGAAAAATTTCCACTTAGACGAATGCCAGCATGTTCAGATGACAACTTCTCCTTAATCTGTTTTCCATAAAGTGTCCAGCATCTTTGTTGAACATTACGTCTATGTGTATTTACATGTTCTCCAAATGTGATAATATTCGTCTTTGTTACATTATAGTCGAATCTCCATTTTTTGCTGTACGCTTCCATAGTTGATATCATTTTTTGTAGACCATTGACACTTAGGGATAACAATGCGACATCGTCAGCTATTAGAACATTTTTCACGGAAATTAATGAGTCAATATTAATTCCAACGTTCATCGTACTTAACTCTGCATTTATATCATTGTTAAAGCATAAAAACAACCATGGCGATATAACTCCACCTTGCCGAATACCTTGGCGAATGAGAAATGGTTCTGAGAGCAAATCATTATGAGCCACACGACAAGACAGATTTGAATACCATTTCTTTAATAATCTCCATGACTTGCCCTGTATTCCAAGATTGAACAGTTTGAAAAAGAGACCATCCATCCAAACACAATCGAAAGCTTTTGAAATATCCAAAAAACATGCATAAACTTTGCTTTCTCTCTCAACTGCATGGTGAATCGCTTCTTGCAATACAAAACTGGCCTGAACACAGCTTTTTCCTTTTTGATATGCAAATTGCATCTTATCTGGAACTCCATTTTTAATTAATATTGGCATCATTCGATTAAGGATAAGTCGTTCTAATATTTTGCCAATAACATTAAGAAGGGTGATACCTCTGTAATTATCTTTGTCTAATTTATTCTTCTTTTTCCCTTTAAATAGGGAATAGATAACACCAATTTCGACAGATTTAGGAATAGCTTCCAATGCTCTAATTGCATTGAAAACGTCAGTCAGGACAGCAAAGAACTGCTTCCCAGCATACTTGACGTGTTCGTATACAAGTTCATCCATTCCACCAACTTTGTTATTTGGCAACTTTAAACAAAGGTTGCTTACTTCCTCTGTAGTAAACGGTGTTTCTAATACGTCATTGGTAACATTAGCACTAAGATCCACATACTCTTTCAGCTGTTGTTCCACAAAAACTTTAAATTGTTCGTCATATACAGGGGACTCTTTAGGCGTATATAGTTGTTCATAATGAGCTTTCCACACGGATAGAAGTTCCTCTTTCTCAGTAATTAATCTGCCATCAATTTTTAATTCATTACATACCCCTGAAACTGATTTCTGTTTAGCTGAAATTTCTTTCTGGAAGCGTGAACGATCTTTATCATAAAATTCATCCATGTTGGAGAATTCATTTCTTTCGTGTTCAAAACATTTTCTACGGAAAAGTTTTCGAAATTCACATTTTGCTGCCTTATATTCTCGAAATGATGCGTTATCAGAATTTCTCGGTCGCCCTTCTGCTATCCATTTCCTTCGACATTCCCTTGACTTTGTACGCGCATTTTTGAGATCATTATTCCAATAAGGACGTAGAATGGGGCGATTTCTCTTGCAGGGCAGAATCTCTTTAGCAGAAGATGATAAGATCTGTGTAATTCCAGATAAAACGTATTCAATATCCTGTTCACCAGCCATCGTATAGGAGTTGAAACATGAAAGTTTTCTACTCACAAGTTTTTGATACATTTTCAAGACGAATGGATTCTGGATCTTTTTCCACGAGACACGACGTTTCGTATCATTGGGAAGAGGCTTTATCCATTTGACAGGAAATGTCAAGCAGCAACATATAGGAAGATGGAAGGATAAGTTATCACTGTGGTCTTCGTCCACATAGCAGTAACGAACATGATGCAATTCATCCACTTTCATAAATATATGGTCAGTTGTGCTTAACTGCTCACCTTGTTGAGCAAAATAGGTTTCCACTGGTCCAGTGGTAAATGTTTGTGAGTTGACAGATCTCAAATTCCAAAATTTGAACTTATCGATAAGGGCTAGTCCTTGTCGATTTGTAGTATCAAAACTTCGAGGCCCACCATATTTTCCAATATGACCATTAAAATCTCCTGCCAGAACAATAATTCCCTTTTCATACAAGTTGTCAACTACATCGTCAAGGACTTCGAGACACTCTCGATATTTTGTGATTGAAGTGTTAGAAGATGGTAGGTAAACACTCAAAATAAACATGCATACAGTAGGTGATAACCGTACCTGCACAACAATAATTCTATCATTTCCTAGTTCCTCTAAGATATTAATTCTTGCATTTAACTCTTTTCGCCACAAAACTGCAACTCCACCTTTGCCTCTTTGCCATACTGAATCCATATTCAATTCTGTGCTCGACCTTCCCCAACAAAATCCTTTGGATTTTCTCCAATTCTTGTTGAAGTTACTTTGGAAGGGAATTGTGAAATAAGGGACAAGCATAATCCAGAGTAGTTTGAATGCATGAAGAATAGTATGCCACAATTCTTCTACAGGGACATTAGCTCGTTTCAATTGAACAAGAAAATATAATCTACGGGCTGCTTTCTTAATTACTTCTTCGATATGGTCATTCCAAGACAGTTTGTTGTTGACAGTCACTCGTAGCAGCTTGGCTTTAGATACTTTCTCCATTGGGATTCCATCGATTGTTACTGGAGGATAGGGCTGTCGATTACGGCCGAACGAGATGGTTAGTTCTTTACTCTTTCCTCCGTTCAATTGAAGAAGAGATCCCTTTGACCGGATAACTACTTTGTCCACGGCTATCTGGGCACTGCTATCGTGTCCTCGAGTAATGATTTCCGATACCATCGAGTCATCCACGTACTTCCAGATGTCAAAGGGATCATCAGGAAAACCAAGGTTAATTATCATTAAAATAAAAAGCCATGGGCCTAATTTGGTACCCTGCGGAACACCCGAGGGGACAACGCCCCATTCAGACATGCAATCATGACTCAACTTTACTCTCTGTAGTCTGTTCGATAAAAAACTTATTAGCCAGTTGATTATAGTGGTGGGAATATCCAGCTCTTTCAATTTGTTGACTAGGATTGTATGATCGATTAGGTCGAACGCCTTTCGGTAGTCAAACAATAATACTCTTACAACAGAGCCCGTGCCGTCTGTTTCGTAAAGCCATTTATGTACCATGCTTATGAGTGCTGTCACAGTAGAGGATCCAGATACTGTACCGTACTGATTTGGATCTACGTTCTTCAATATGGCGGGTTTAATATAATCAGTAACTACAAACTCCTCCGCAAATTTTGAAATCGATGGGGTGAGTGAAATAGGTCGTAACTCTTTTTTAGGATCTTTAACTTGTTTGATCTTTGTTATTGGTATTACGTTCGCATGCTTCCAAACGGAGGGTAGTCGCTGTTTCCTAAATGACGAATTCAAGATGTTAGCTAACGGATCACAGAGGATTTCTGCATACTCTTTAAATATCCAGTTGGGTAGACCATCAGGACCCGGTGCCTTATTCTGCTTTAAATGCCGCAAGTTGTTACACACACGAAAACTTGAAACCTAGAGGAAGACAGTGGTATCTTCGTCAACTGATTGAAGGGAAGCACTCGCATCCAGTGGAGTATAGCTCTGCAGAGGTTCCAGTAGGGCAGCATTGATTGAGTTAGATATTTCATTTAGATTCATGTTTTCGTAATCAGGAACGTACAGCCTGCTCATCACGTCGCTGTCGTTACTTTTAACGGATCTATTTAGTTTTCTTACTTCCTTCCACCAACAACGCGGATTAAACCCCTTCAAACTCTCTACCTTCGAAGAATAATACAACGATTTGCACCTTTTTCTTTCTCTATTGACTGCATTGCGGTGAAATTTAAAACGAAAACTGTTTCTATCGGCATGAAAGGCTAAC